TAAACAATGGATGCGTATCACAATCAACATTCATGTGCTCATCCATGATACATATTTATTTGTTCATATTTACTTATTTATTTATTATGAAGTATTAATTGTGTGTGTTGTTATTTATACTGTTTTCTGTTGTATTGATATATTGTAAAATTAGTGTTCACTTTGTGTACACTTAACCCTTTATGGGCATGCATGTGTAATAAAGTTCATAAATCTATCAACGGAATACCCAGCTGACAACGGTAAAGCCACAAATGGCGTGAAGAAACAGTCGATTCGGTTCGATTTTCGTCACTCGTGAACTGCATGTTAAATAGAGGTACCTAGAACAAATTCCTTTGCTACAATAATCAAAAGTGTCTTAATAATTTGATCTAAGAGCTGAGTAGTTCAACAAGTTAAACCCAATACCACGCCTTTCATTTATTAATCTGAATGTTCTTGTTGCCGTGATTGGGTTTAACTTCCGTGCTATGCTTTCATCTGTTGCAAATTCTCACGATCAGTTATTAATTAAACGCGCATGAGATTTCATGCGCTGCCATAGACCACCATTAAATTCTTTGCATCCAGGGCCGAATAGGTACGGACGTTAAACCTAGGGCGGGCCACATGATATGTCAGATAAGAAATAAGGCCCAGACTAGGTTCATGGTGTTATAGCATGACGGTTACGTCAAGTCGATTTGCAAAATTTTGCGGTAACGATAACAAAAAATGGCGGATGGGAAAGGCAGCATGTCCTCTTTCTCGCCTGTAGGCAATATTCACAGATAAGATTTCCTTTTAAACTAGTTCCATTCGGTGACGTATATATGGATGGTTATAAAGACTGGGTCAAATCTGCCAGGTGGTCTACAAGAAAGAGAATTTAAGTTGTAAACCTACCGACTGAGATATCCAAGTTTATAATTTTCGGTCCATTCTCGTGTTTTCTCAGTACATGTGCCTCAGAGCCACTCAAAATGTTAACTGTAAGTAAACTGTGTATAAACAAGGCATAAAATGACAAATCTAGAACAGGAACGTGGTGTATATCGTAAATAATATGGTTTCAAACGCAATGTCGTTAGACGACTACGTATGACTTCTATCGAATTCTATGGACGGTAACGTATTGTATTAGTTGTACATAAGATATTTAGCGGACGGTTACGTGCATGTACATCTGTCAAGTCAAGGTTGATCGGATTCTTATTAGAAATTGATCTGATAGCTTCTTTCCATGTTATTGTTATAATGGGTAAGAAATGGAATATTGAATTTCCTATATTTGTTTTCAGGACTCGCAAAAGACGCTCTTGTTTCACCCTCTATAGGGCAAGGGAAAAGATTGTCGCTTGCTTTATTTATGAAACCAATGAAAGTGTAAAAGATAGCAATGAAGAGGCAAAAGAAGATTTAGGATCAAGTACTGATAAAGATGACAAAATTAATAACAACGAATCGGGGTTTCATATTTGAATCAGGTTCGCGTAACCGTCCATCAATCTTTTAAGTTACCGCAATTTCAAAATACATTAGAGAGATTTCGCACGGCGTGAAAGTACAACTTATAACGCATACTTATAAGCAAACGTACAAGGTGTTTCATAATGTGGGGTTTTCGTCCGGAAAGATCTTCTCGGACTGTAATAAATAAAGGTCAAAGGGATGCCATTTGTTCTTTCTTGAATTGTAGCATGTTTAGTTGATCCAAATGTGTTTGTCTAGAATAAAATGGGCTCATATATAGTACGTAATTATAGACCTATCTCTTCTGAAATTGATTTTTTTGAGATGCTCGTTATGAAACACCCTGTATGTCATTTGATTGAGCCACTGAATGGGTCGTTTCCAGGAATTGCTAGAACCTACTGGTTTGATTGGTGTTTCAAATTGATGGTTAAAGTATTTGATTGGATACTGTTCCTACTCAGCCAATTATTTTTAAAAAATGCTTGCGGTCAATTGTTCCACACACATGCAGGTAAAGCTTTATACGGAGATCCAACTGTATACGTTTATCATCTCGTATATATACCGTTTTGTAAGTTCATTGAACTTATACTGATCATGAAAACTTTGAAATAATCAACTTGTTTATGTAATGACTCACTTTAAAGGATCATGACTCACTTTAAAGGATCGTGTTTATAATACACTACAACTACTAGGACACGGAAGCAAGCATTTAATTATAATGTGCATAATCTACAAGTGCAGATGACAGTGCATTCACAGTCTCTAGTTGATGGAGCTTTTCTATATCGGGAATAGTTATGTTCCATTAAGTACAATTTGAAATTGATTTTAGTAAATATAATAGTTCGACATGACCCTTTAAAGTATACGTATAAGTTGTACTTTCACTTATGTGCGGAATCTCTCTATTACTTATGGCTTGAGTAGAACATATTAAGTGGTTTCCAATGCTCAATTGGCTTTGTATGATCGTATGTAGGTTACATCTATATACCCTAAAGTTTTTAGGCAATGTAGACCATGCCCTAACAACAAAAATAAACAAATTACTAAATTTTGTGTAGTTTTGAATTTCAAACTCGACAGTTTTTCTCTTATTTCATGTTATACCCGGGCATCAATTTGCAAAAACTACGTTCAAAATATACATTACTGAATGCATCACCGAATGCGACGCTTGCATAAATCGTTCATCCTTTCATTGATACACAGTAGTAGAAAACAATGCACCAACCTTAATTTTCCATCGCGGCGGCCATTTTGTCGGATAAATCACTGAACGTAGCCGTCCAACCTCGTTTTCAGAGGTGGCATAACCGTCAAGCTATAACACCGTGAGGTTTAACTTGTTGAACTAAGAGACACCGTTGACTTATAACACCGTGAGGTTTAACTTGTTGATTTAAGAGACACCGTTGACTTAGGTCGAGGTAACTTAATTCCAAAAGGTGTATATATCGGGAATTGTTGGAGTATCTTTTTTTGGTTAATATGCACACCTAATGCCTTGGTCATATTTGCTCCGAGTTTCACTACGGCGCCCGGCCGATTGAGTATTTTGTTCAAAAATGTATTCAATTTTGAACAAGATACTCAATCGGCCGGGCGCCGGCCGATGAATCGCAGCAAATGTGACCAAGGCAATAGTAAGACCGAAATTCGAGTTCTCAAATGCAGTTTTGAGCCCCTATCTGAAAATACATTGAAAATGGACAAAGAAGATTCATTAATATCTACAAAAGTTAGAGCACTTTTGATCTTACTTCATGATCACACTGTACCTAATTAATTTGGTGCTTTACTGTATCTCTAAATTTATCTTTTTATGTGTTGCGGGTAAAGATACATTAAATATACATGTAGATTATTGGACCGATCACTTGATCTTGTTTTACAAATGTTGTTATTTGTATGCGTTTGCTATTGTAGATTCACACATGGCAATTAATTAAGGCAAGGTGTGTCCTATTCCAACCAACCCGAACACATTATTTCACATAACTGCAGTGCATTATATCGCCGCATCCCAGGTCATACCTTATATGGTTGTCAAGGTGACAATTTGACTGTACGGATTGAAACTGATGCTTTGCCAACTTGACCCTTGCAAAACGTTTCATTGAAAATATGTTCTTTTGGTGATTTCGTATCTAATTTGAGTGACATGGTAGAAAGTATTTTTGTGTGAAAAGAATGTGTGAAAAGAATTAAAGCCCAAAACCCGATGCATTGTGAAATGACCATTCATACACTGTAAATTGCGTTTCAGTCAGTTGAATTGTTTCAATACTTGCATAATTTCAATCATTCCAATCGATTAAACAGTTTCAATCGATACACCTTCGAAGATGTTATCAACGTTTCGCTGCTTGCGCCTGTTTCGCCGTTTTAAGCATTTCGCCCAGGTTTTTCGACCATTTCATTCATTTCAATCGATACGTCTTGGAAAATTATTTTCCAGTTTCTTTGCTTGCGCCGTTTCAAGCATATCAGCCTAAGCTATTTTCACTTTCATTTCAACCATTTCAACAGTTCGACCGTTTCGCCCCCATTTCAAAGATTTCGCCTGTCAGTGTATACAGGGCTTTACATTTTAGGGACTAATATAATGTACGATTTCCATACATCGGCATTTGGCCCATCCGATGAATTTAATCGAGCATTACGTGCAACCAAACATTTAAATGGTAGCGCTTTCCCTCATTGACAGATTGACGTGTGTAACGGTCTACGTAGACATAAGAGGAGATTGTCAGACGGACAAGGTGAATATCTATTTCATGCGTCGGCTAAACGTTTTGAGTTGTATTTAGTAAAGAATATGACTAAATATTTCAGTAGCTGGTGAAACACTTACCCTTTAATATTTTATATGTTTTGTATTTTGTATATTTTTATATATTAATATGTTTTATATATGCACTTTTCCCAATTGTTTGAGGAATGTCATGCCAAAATTACCTTGCATTTTCCATTTTCCAATGAAAATGTAGAGATCACTCAGGTTCGTTGAAATGTCTTTTACCCTTTGCATTCGTTCGACTTCACTTCTTAAAAGAGAGTTCCGTCTTCACTCTTTCAAACTAAAATAAGCCTGTGAACTCACCGCGCCAATCACTGCTCGTCGGCCAATTTTGACCGACGTTCTGTATATGGTCATTCCCTCTGACGTCATCGTTAAGCCCGGAATTGACCAATGACAATTCAGAATTTATTTTGGCGCGTGTTTCTTCAAGCTCGCTGATTTGTGGAAGAAAGGTCAGCGCGTAGGTCAGAAGTGATTTATTACCCGAACTGTCACCGGCACCCGTCGTGGGGGCGGGGCTACTAAACTGTAATATGATTTCTACTAGGCAGAGTGTAGTTTAACTAGACTCTACACGTAGGGTAAATGTCTTTTAGCATTTACAATGAAATTAAATGTGGATATCGTATGCTTACCATTTATGATCGAGTAAATTGTTGATCCAGTGTAATTTATGATTAACACTGAGTGTTTTTCTCAAAATACATATCTTTAAATTTCACAAGTAACTCATAAACAAACATTAAAATGTCAAAATATTGAAATTACAAAATAATATTGAACAACGTTATTTGCATCTAGGGAAACGCGGTTTGAAATAGCATACATTTTACAGTAAGCTTCAGAATAATGCAATCATGGCGTCCCAACTAGGTTTGCCGAAATCCGTGGGATTTAACGAAAGGGCAAAAAGGACATTTAAGCATAAGTTACCACCGTTCACAGGACCTTATCTGTTAGCAAAGGATAACTCACTGGACAGTGAAGAGGGTCTAGTTGCGACAACTAAAGGTTTAAAGGATGACCCGAAATCACCGAAGAAAGAAGTTGATCGTTATAAACGTTCCTCTACCTTTATCAACTATATTGTGCAAAATGTCGACATCAGGAGAAAATTCCCAGACGCCGAACTGAAAAGGCAGACAGCGCAGGTGGAAATACTTGTCCAAATGATATGTGGACTTCTTGGAAAAAAGGACTCCGAATTGACAATTAAGGAAATCATAAGACGAGGGAGCTTTTATGAACTGTATAAGATTATACGACCTGATGAGTTTGATTTCCTATGTGTATTGGCAAAGTCATTTGCACGAAAGAAAATCTCTGTTCAGCTGGATATTTTCGGAGGCAGTAAACTTGGTAAGTTAGGGGAACACATGGTGTCAAGTCTGCTTAAGAAGGACCCCGACTGCAGACGGGAAATATTTAACAAGGATAAAGGACTGTATACAGTCAAAGAAGAAAAAAGTAACAATTCTGAAAATGAGCCGTCTGATTCTGAAAACGAGTCGTCTGATTCTGAAAACGAGTCGTCTGATTCTGATAATGAGTCGTCTGATTCTGATAATGAGAGTTCACACTCTCTGATGCACTCCCTGAGAGCTGAGATTATTAAAATCCTGCAGCAAATGAGGGGCCTTAACTTTATAGGGGAGAGAGATCTTGAATCAAAAGATTCTACCACTCCGTATCCTGAAGGTACAGTAGCTATTCATGGTGACCTACATGGCCCTAGTGTTACATTGCGGTACGGTGGTCCCATATGTACCGTCGATGTAGATTTATGCTTCTGCGTTGATACGGAACCTAATGAGCTTGGACGATGCGTCTTGGTTAAGAAACCAGAAAAACCCGAATTCAATTATTTGAATGAGGAAGTCATGTTCCCCGATTGGATTGAATCACAAGTAGAACATCCCATTAATGCTAAATATACATTGGTTGCGCCACATGGCCAGCTATTTTTGGCGTTGAAGTTCATTGTTTATTGCACTGCTCGAGCATCTGGTAATAAAGCAATGTCGTCGTATACATTGAAAATGATGTTACTAGACCATCAAAAGAGGTGTCAGACAGTTGAAGTTGGGGAATGTTTCGAGACATTCGTGATCGATACAGTCAAATCTGTTGGGAAAGCTAATCGTCGTAAAAACAAATTTGAGTTGAACTTACGATCGACTAATATTGACAGGCTACATTGTTTCGACGTTTTCTATCATGGCAGAAAAATGAAACCATTTACGAATAATTCCGACGTCAAACCCGAGATATGTGTAGCATTGGTTTGGTTTATGCAGCATGTACGACACAGTACAGACGAAACATGGTGGGACAGACTCCTAGATCAGAATTTCCTTTTTGATTTCGAAAAGAAGGCAGGACAACCCGACACGTTACAATCCTTTTTAGCGGCGCTGGAATATCATGAATCATACCATGATATAGCACAATTGAAATGGCGGCATGAGGACGGTGCAACAACGCGCGTGACAATTAAACATGGAGACGGAGAGAGTGAGGACTCTTTCTTCTGATGAAATGGATCAAATTTTGGGCGAATTACATGATAATGTGAAAGGAGAAATAAGGAATGTTTTGAAACATTTGTGATTGATACGATTGAAGCTAATGGTTATATAATTTCCACTTAGTTTTTAAGCTGGGCAGGCGAATGAGACCAATAAGCTATGATTCCGACGTCAAGCTCGACATAATTAAGCTCGTCACTTTCGATTCTGTATAAAGTAAGACACAGTATAAACAAATCTCGATGAGACAGCTTCCTTCATCAGAACTCCCCGATGGAAGAGGAAAAAGAAACAACAATTATTAGAATATATAATTAACAATCGTAATTTTGGATTATAGACACTCGATGGAATTTACAACCATCACTTGAAACAGTGTTTTGATAACATTCATCATATAAGTAGGTTTATGTATTTTCAATTGACATTCCTTTTTGGATTGTTCCATGTGCTTTCAAAATGACATTGCCTATATTTAGTAGTTCTTGTACTCTCTTTATATTTTGTATTTTATATCACTGTCATACTGTATTTCCATATTTACAGTTTCTCTAGTCTTTTCAAAAATTGAAGCCATTTATATATTGCATTCACTGTTTACAATTGTATCTTGTTGATTCTTCAGAAAGAGAAGATCAAGCACTGGTAAACTCTCCCTGTACCGTACAAAACGAAGAAGAATTGGGAGCATGTCTACAATTCGTATGAATGTCGAGGGAAATAGAAGCCGATGGGAAATTCACATCACCAACAGGGGGTGGGGCAGGTCAACGCACCAAAAAGCGCGTTCAAGTCCCTTGAAAAATAGCAGATAGATTATGCTTTGATTATATAATTAACGAACACAATAGAACATCAGCTTCATTGCTGTCGCCTCGTTTCCAGTTTTGTCAATTATGTATGATTTCTGGACTCGCGTCGCATAGTGTCTTCACTGCGTTTCCAAAATATGCTTGGTCTGCGACCCAGAATCGGCTAACAGGAGGCAAACACTGATCACACTTTGAAGATGTTTAAATTGCTGTGGTGTATATGTGATTTTATAGACATGTGTCAAGTGACAAGAAACACAGATTTGAAGCTAGAAAGATGCTATGATTGTCAAATGTCCGCGCACGACTGACTTTGTGTTCCCAGAATATATTTCCCCGATTGACTAAATTTCGTGAAGCTTCACAGAGACATAGTTTGTAAAATTTTCCACCGAATGGTGTATGCTATAATAACTATAGGATACTCAAACCAGTGTACGTAGTTTATAAATAAACTAACCGACAATTCAAAGGTTTCTAAAGCAGCCATTTTGTGTCTATACCGCGTTGCAGCCTTGTTTTGTATGGTTGGCTTACCCGCCCAAAGTATGCATGCGTTGTTTACGGGTGTGTAGGCGTTAATTACGCTCATGCAGATGTAAAATTACGCCCGCGCAGACGTAAAATTACGCCTGTATAGGCGTAAATTACGCCCGTGAAGAAGTAAATTATATGGGCGTTCAAACAACATTAACGGGCGTAAACTTACGGCGTACAAATGATTTATTACGGGCGTTAAGACGGTTATTTTACACGCGTTGAGAAACATCTTCACGCCCGTCGAGTTTACTTTAGTGCCTTGCTTACATAATGATTCAATGCATCCTTGCTAAAAGAGCAACTCCAAGATCCTTGTGCAAGTAAATGACAATCAGAAGCCCGCTTAGATTTTAGTGTGTTGCATTGAGGTCCTTGAATATTCGTTCAAGATTGTTAGACTTAACCAAAAAAAGTATTCCATTTACATAGCAAATTAAAAGGCAAATTAAAGATACTGTGTCGGCAGCGGTCGGCAGTTATCACCACCCATTGTAGAAACGACAAAATCGCGACTATATTTTGAGAAGGTATACAAGTTTGGTTTCTAAATACGATGATTTTTTCGGATAATTCTCCGTAAGAATCTAGGCATCGACTTCAGAGATAGGGACTAAGCTCACACGCATTGCAGCCCACAAAGCACTATGCAGTCAGATCGCTAATGTATCCCTCTAAAGGATGTGTTCAGATACTAGAATTATAGTATCTGATCAACTTCATATTGACTCTATAGCTATATCCTATAGATCTGGCATTTTTTGAAAATGTACTGAAAATGTCAGATGAGCCTATATACCTAGTATACCTAGCCCCAACATAATTATGTTCAACTTTGGTATTAGGGAGATGTGTACTTTTTGGAATCGTTATGCAGTTCTCTTTAGAGTCACATGTTATTTTCAGGAATACGATGTACATCTTTCACATTTGCACAAATAGTGTACCAAGATACCCAGAAAAGAAATAATGTTTCATATGCCATCAATTGCAATAGTTGTTCCTGGCACAATCGTGAGTATGTTATTAACTTGCACAAGGTATGAGTACCGTAATCCAACACCAAATTCGAAAATTCATAACAATACTTTGCACATATGGCGTTCGTGACCAACTATAAAACGCTTACCCCCCATAGTGTTATATATCAAAATGTACCTGTTCATATAGGGGTTCGATTGATCTACATCAAATTATAGGGAGTCAGGTTACTTTTTGAGATATCAGCGTCCATTTATTGTAACTCGCGTTTGCCACCACTTCCTCAATTCTGATATGACAGGCAAACGCGTAGTAAACATACTCACCTCGGAACTATTTTTGACCTACATCGCTATTTTTGTAATTCAAATGAAAGTTGAACTCCTCCTCTTTATTTTGATACCAAATAGTGGCATACTAGGTACCCTAGAAGCCAACTATGGCGTTATTAAGAACAATACCACAGGTTTTTAAATGGACTATATAGGGGTCATACCTTTTGGCGGATGGATATGGAACCTCATACCACAAGGATTTTGGAGTTGCACTTTTATCTAGAATGCATTGTATCATTATGTAAGCAAGATGCTGATTGGTTCATAATTTATGGCGCTAAGATAAACTCGACGGGCGTATAGATGTTTCTCAACGCGTGTTAAATAATGTCTTAACGCCCGCTATTGAACATTTTAACGCCGTTAGCTCACGCCTGTATTTTTTAACGCGAATAGAATACGCGAATAGAATTCACTTCTTAGCGGGCGTAATTAACGCCTACACGGGCGTAAATTACGTCTGCACGGGCGTAATTAACGCCTACACGCCCGTAAACAACGCGTGCATACATAGATTTGGTTGGCAAACCATGAATGTGGCCGTTGAAACAAATGATATTTTGATTGATATTGTAAGGTTTGTGTTTAAACAAATATATTCCTTTGTATAGCTTGAATATTGAGAGGTCTAAAACATGTTGTATATGCTATTTTGTTCCAACAAGGTTCGGAAAGACATTTTATTTCATTCTCAAGAATTGGTAGAAAGGAGCAAAAACAATTGCACTAAAAAAAACAAAAAATGTAAAAGTCCCCGTCTTACGTTTGAAAATATTCTTTATCGTTCATTTACTATTTGTCATGAATGACTTAAAAAGTTATTTTAGAGATTTTTGAAAAAAAAAATGTTTTTGAAAAAAGAGTTGTGAGCATTTCATTTCATTTCATTTTCAAAAAAAGTTTAAACTTTTTAATCATCAAATATTTCTTAATGCATTCCAAAAAAGATTATCTTTTTAACACCAATGCAACGATTGAACAAATGACACACTATTTCAATAATAAAATGTCATATTTAATTGGCCACTTCAATGTATAAGCATATCAAAAATATTTTGAAACATTAGTGATGTCACTAAGGTAGCAAAAACTTTTTGAAAACTATTGAAATTGTTTTTCGATGTCAATCATTTCTAAATATGCTAGACTTCAATAATAAACCAATGTTGATTGTCTAACCAGGTTAAAAGGAAGAATATATTATGTTTTAGATATCATTGTACCATTGGTTTCTATGAGAACTAAAATTTTAAAATGCATTTTTCTCGGAACCATTTTCATGCACTGATAAGTTCATTTCTCGCTTATTTATGAACCGATTTTCTTAATTTTTTCGGTAAAAACATGCAAGGATGAATACTATGCATTGGTATGAATTTTGGCTAATTAAAATATATGTGTGACCTCTAAAAGTTAGTTTAAATTCACAAATTTTGGAACAAAAAGTCTATCAAAACCACTTTTTGAAAAAAGCTTCACATATCACACTTTGATAACATCGGGTAAGACTACAATATAAGCCAAAGTGGTTTAAACTTTATATGGGGACTTTAACAAAAACAGTTATATAAAATATTTCTAAATAATTTTCGCATTAAATTGTTGTCAATCAGTCAACATTACATAAAATACCATGTGGTTTTTTACAGAATGTTTTCAATGATTGGTTTAAGAGAAAAACATTGTTGAATTCAGTTCTCCATATCGATATCTATCCTTTTCGTTCATGTGTCACACCACATCAATGATTAGTGAAGTAGTTACATTTATGTGTATGCCGAAATGAGTTGGCTGAGCTTAGGTAAATGTTACTTTTGCAAAATATAATTCTCATCAAAAGATTTTTTATTGTCAAATGTTTTGGAACGATGGTGATGAATTAGACACAGTTATGTTGTATAATGTAAACTGTATATTTATAAACTGGAATTCTAATGCATGGAATGTTGGACATGGTCATTTCATATGAGAATTGACTCATTGTGAAATACACAATGTAATTTGAAATCAAAATAGTGAATAATCAGAGGGTAAATCTTTCTGATTTTCACATAGTTTATCATTCATCAGTATAATTATCCTTCACCCCTATTTTTTCAAGAAAATCTGAATTGTGGAAAAAAGTCGGTCGAATTAAGTCAAGTTCTTAATATCAAAAGTTTGTGCTTGAAACTGAGCTAACAAATACTTGTGCTTGTTAGAGTATACAGGGAAAATCTCAGGGAAATAAATGATAATAGTGGATGATTGCACAAACCATAAACACCTAAACTCGAATTTAACAAACAAAAATAACATTTATTCAAATACTTTATTAACAATTGTAATTTTGCATCCATATATACTCGAAGAAATCTATAATCAATTCTTAAAAACTCGAAGTTTTCATCATCATATCTTTCTTTATGTATATTTTCACTTGATAACCCCTTTTAGTGGTTTTATTTCGTGTTCTTTCGCGAGAACACTCACTTTTTAGTGTCGTTTTCGTGCATACTGATGATTTGCCTCAGTTATTGAGAAGAAAGGATTCCTTTTGGCCAAGATATATTTACTATTTGGGTAGTTTTGAATGGACCATCTTTTTACATTATAGTATATGTATGTAAGCACACCTAAATATACATGAGATCATCCGTACATTCGGTGTAACTTTCGTTCCTATGTACAAGAAAAATCTCATCGAAAGATATATCTTTGTCACCCATGGTCGCCCTCAGTTCAACCTAGAAGAATATTTTTACATTTTATATAAAATGCACTCAAAGGTTTGGCAACAAACTCCCATATCTGATCATACCTGTTTAGTTTGACTATGTGAAAAATCGTCAATTATTTAGTGTCAAACATCACATATTGACGAAAAAGTCACTCATGAAAAGGCTTTATCTGGTAAATGCATTAAAATGTCAGGGTTGGCAATTTTTGAGGGGAGTGTACGTGTACATATACAAATATACAACTTCTCAGATCGGTGTCTGTTGTACCTTTACCTATATTTAAAAACATGCACAGAGCTTACGATGTTTAATACTTAAATAAACCCTTTGCATATCAATAACAGGATTCAAACCAAGACACAATGATAGTCATTCTTACCGTAAACCGCCTCGATACGGAGATATCCTTTACGGCCAGATACCAGGAGTCGTGCTTTGTAGTGCCCTCTTGCGTCCAAACGGCTTGAGATATATCACTCTCAACAAGCGAGATTACGACCTCTAATTTTGAGCCCTTCGACTGCCACATATAGAAGGAGAAGTAGAGACAATAGTTCTCTGGTTGCATCACTGGCGATTGGAATATTGCTACGTCACCATAGGATGCGGAGGATGCAGGTAAACATTGGAAATAACCTAAATGGAAATATATATCGATGAGTTCCATGGCCTTGATAATTTACAAGGCTACTATTACCAGTGACTTTGGTGTTAAAATAACAGTCATCATGTATAATCATTTTTTAAAGATGCCTAACTCTAGGATAGAACTGGTAACCGAGACACTACGAGACCCCGAGATATTACTACGATTGGTTTATCCAGGGACCTTACTGATACTACTACTCATGCCTCCAAACAATATCCTGAATGGTACGGACGGGAGAACTGACCTCTAGAGCACCATAATTCTACACCATCCTCCTAAGCAGGTGTCCAAAATCCGTACCGCCTTCTTCCCCCCTACTATAACCAATTTGGAAGCGCCCGATTAAACTGAATCACGTGGTCTTACTATGCACAATTACTTAAACATGATTTCCGTCGCAGTGTTGCGACAGCCAATCAGATTGCGAGTTCTTAATCGGGGAAATGCTAACTGCTTATCGCAGGGGGTAAAAAGAAAGAATATATTCTGGATTTTGAAGCCCTGTAATCTGAGGTTGTTCTACACATGAACATAACAGTTCTCCTTAAAACGTTTAGCTTTACCCCATTATAATCGGACTTATTGTTTACCTTCATAAAAACTCCACTTTGTCGCCTCGTAATATGGCGCATTAAAAGCAGGAAGCGTCACAAACTCCGCCTCTCCCTTATTTTTGCCCGTAATACTGTTAAACTTATTTTTAAATGTACATGGTTCACCTAATTCAAATGTGCATTTTTGTTTCATCTCGCCTAAAACAGAATAACAATAATTTCTTATTAAAACAATATTCACAAATCATTTTAAATGAGTCATTTTATATGAATCAGACTCGGGGATTATATTTTTTAATTCGCAGGCTGTAATTTAGTATACGTCTTGAATAATTTACATTATTCGATCATCATTTAGGTAATGATTAGCATTCTAGATATATATAAAGCATCAATATTCCATATTTCATTCGTGCCACGGGTCAAAATGATTGAACATATTAAAATATGATCTTATATTATAAAATGCATACGAAGAAAAAGCACAAGAAAAACAACGAATATAGTTCATGGTGCAGGACAAAATGAGTGATTAATCAATCATAAACGTCTGCTCGACCTTTTGAGCTAGGGAACCCAAATCGGCGCAAAGAGTTTTATGAGATATATTTGATAGTCTCGGGCGGAAAGCTCAGTGCTAAATTTTTAATAGTACACACGTTATACGTATTCATGAGAAACTGTCTTCCCTGTGATGTAATAACCATATGATCGGCAGTTCAAACGAAAAATATCTTACTCTGCGTGAGCATGTTTTCAGTTGAATATTAGGGGAACATAGGGTTCCTTTATTTTCAGTAGAAAAGTCTAGAGGGATTGTATAATGCAATTTCCGGCCCATGAACATTTTCAGAACCTTTTAGGGTATAACACACTTACCCTCAGCCACGCTGTCAAAGTTTGGGACAGTTTCACGACAGCCATATACCCTTTGAAGTTTTAAAATATCAAGTGCGGACAGACCATCACGCTGTCCTATATACACTGGTTTATTTGGTATAATTGTTGGCTTAGTATAGTCCATGGCAAATTCGTTTTCCTCATAATGTAGCACTGATCTATAGTCATACGGAGTGTCGTGGGGTTTTGCCTCCTCGTTTATTTCAAAATTCTCTTTGAAGTCTAAAAAATGATAATACACATGTGTTGCAAATCGTCAAAATCTCTCTAAGCGAGATTTCAAGGTACATAGGAAAGCTTCTTGTAGTTCTAGTATTATTAATTTTGTAAATATCTGTAGATATTATTCACCTTCTTTTATGTTGTATATTCATAAATCCCCATGTCATATTGTATGCAAGTATCTTCTATATAAATTTGAATTAATACATACTGTAGATACAATGATGCGTTAATATTGATCCATAGAATTCCTGAAGAAAATAAAAGCCAATGGCTTTCATTTTTCAAAAAAGTAAGATAACATATCTTCGTACTCATCTGCGGCATGGCCTTAGTATCAACAACCTTAATAAAGTAGCTGTCACATAAGCCGTGTGTGCTTACCGTTCGCCACCGTGTGTCTAATGTTGGGCATAATTATCTTAATTAATAATTAGTATTTTTTAATGTGATGGGAGATATCTTGCTGTAAATCTGTTTTGCCCATCATATATCCATGCCATGTTCCGCTGTCTGCCTCAAAGATTTCACACGGTGGCGAAAGGTGAGCCAACACTGCACAGTCTAAGCCGGTGTGACAGTTCCATTTTGGCTTGACACCAACAACCTTAAATATGAATACGATTTCGTATTCTTGTGGATCATACTCTTTTAAATGATATTCAATAATACCTGGGTCAATATTTTCCCAAACTATTTTGATATAAGTGTCCCTATCGGGTCGAGTGTGTTCATGGTACAACCCACAGAGATGGAGGAACTCATGGATGGGGACTCCAAGGTAGGATAAACAGCCAGGAGTTAATGACATGTTCTGATACTTCCAGTCACTGAAGTCATCATCGTCCAGTCGAGCATTTGCCACATATGACCAACATCTAAAACATAGATATGTTTGACTAGGGCTCCTTGGAAAGATCAAAAAGAAAACCTTACGTCTGTCTATTGTTATAACTAAAACTGCCTAGAACGCTTTTCGTTACAAAGCTTTTTGTCACTATGCTTCTGGCTCTCAATTTTATACAAGCATAAACCTACATAATCTACATGTACATTAAGAATTTATCAAATTATCAATACCCATCTATTGGTTGAATGTAAACATAATCTCGGAATTCGAAATTTTCTTGGACGTCTTTCTCAACAAAACTGATACATCTACCATCGGAAGATGTTTTCGTTTCTATCGCCTCCATTGCTGCAAGAATTATTTTCTTATCTGCTTCACCTATAACAACAAATATTGCAGATTCGAGATACAGTAAATGCATTCAACTTTACATTGACGTTTTCACGTGGACGGCCATCATATTACCGTTCTGTCTGAAACTTAGAGTGGGGCTTTAGAAATGATCTTGCTAAGATGTAAGACTAGTAGTACTGCTACAACTTCTGTGACTACTATCATACTTACTGTATGAAGAGTCCAACTTGTACGGAATGACAGCCTTGGCTTTGGAGTGGAAACCAGGGGGTCTGAACCAGAGTGCTTTTTGGTTGGACATTGCGTGCCTGAACTAAACAAGAACAATAATTCGGTTGAATTACCGTAACATTCTTACATATGAACATTTCGTTGATATTATCTTGGAAACCATGGGTTCATAGCTAATGAGCAATGAAACCATGATCGTATTAGTTTAAAAATGCTTACGAAAATGGACCCCTGATCATTGTGTTTAATGATTAAATATGCATTATGTATTATAAAGGTACAAAGAATAATGCAAAAACCTAAAAAAAATGTGATGTCTTCCATGATTGCAACACAAAACCTTAATGGCAGTTTTAATATTGTAAACATTTTTAATGACAGGAAAAATATTATCAAAGTATAAATGTCTATAGAATTTTAGCACTAGCAGATATATAAGGGATATGAACTGGGAGGTTTTGGATACAGGGTTTATCCCAAGGGAAATATGTGTATCTACAGATACACATATTTCCCGCGGGATAAATCCTGTATGCAAAACCGACCGTACATAACAGATGTATTTCATACCTACTGAGGTTTTAGGTACATCATACCTTATAAAGTTCCAAAATCCCAAAACATACGGTACACGTTTTCTTGTTCTTAAAGATTTGAATTTTGATTCCAAAAATTTGAATAAAAATTTTTTTTTTGAAAATGTTGAAAATAAATTTGGAAAAAAATTTTGAAAAAAGATTAGGAAAAAAAAATTTAAAAAAAATTAAAAAAATGTTTAGGAGCGGGACCGGGATGGAAACAGACTGTATCCATCCCGCCCCGCTCCTCGATGATATATCCCTAGATACAGTATATATTCCCGCTCGTTATTTACCTAGAACCTTAGTAAGTATGGAATACAAGCATATGTGTGTTTCACCTTAGGGGTATTTTTGTCACTCCTTTCACGCTTCTTTATATCTCCCTCAAACAGAGCTAGAACAATCAAAATGCAAACATGAATATTTTTTGACGTCTGAATTTCTTAAAAAACAAAAAGGGTTCAGTATGTATGACTCCATATACATCAGTAAACATTCGTATCGTACCAAGATGACCTCCTTACATACTTCAGCTACACAAGTGGAATCATATGAATATGAAATCAACCAAGGGCGAACGTAATACCCGGAACGTTCCTCGTTCGCAATTTCAATGTATTCGGCGTTCGACCTTTTACCGTATACTGTTCTATCAACCAATTAAAATACACCATTATAAAGCCCCGGATGTTGTGTCGTTTCGTTTGGTACACATTTAAGCCCTGGGTCAAGATTAAATAAGCCCTTGAATCAACGGTATCTGATGCACTTACACTACAGACAGTAAACATCATGATGATGCAACAATAAAACACAATTTACTTTTATCTCGATTTCGTCCCTCTGGTGTAGGCAGCTTTTGTTTCTTATTGCGGGCCTTTCGCTTGTCATCATTTTCATCTTTTTCGTTTTTTCTCATTCTGGAATTAAACCTTCTCATCGCGTCTGAAATATAAATAAATTATGGTACATTTCCTCGCCAAGGAAAAATAAAGGTGTTATTATAAATTCCATCAGTATCAGTAATATTTGTTATCGCGTCTGGGCAATTATCACTAGTATGTTATTTCGGTCTGTTTATCCGTAACCAATCTTCAGAGGAAGATGACCTGTTTAGAAAACTCTATTGGATAAGCTCTAATGACGCAGATGATCCATGACATTGTATTAGGTTCTGTTAGATTAAATTTCATTCTTTGATTAATTTCCTTATTGAAGATATCTGTTTGAATATTATTGATAGCAATACTTAGCCTGTGGGCATTTTTGATTAATAAGGCATTTATTTGTAGTGAAAGTTATATAATGCATACTGAATTTATTCTTTTGCATATAAACTATTTATAATTATAATCGTTTGTAAGATATAAAGGATTATTTTAATACAGGTCTCTAGGGTGCTCGCCAAAATTTAAGAACTCTCTCTTTCTAGACGCTTTTATTTGAAAATATTCTAGACTACAGTGGCATTCTAACACTATCAGGTTATCCCATACTAAATCATATAAATTACACATTTGATGAATCCTTATGTTCTTTGTATCTATCTTTACCCACTGACAAAAAGCTTGATGTAATTCATGGCGATGGGGTACATATTTTTAATGGCAGGGTAGCCTCACCTTTTTGGACAGAGAATCATATACAACATTTGGCATCAAATTACGAATAACGTTACATGGAGTTAGTTGCACTGATTACCTGTCCCACTCGGTCGCCTGACTCTACTCTCTGGTGCTATCCATTCATCCCTCTCACTGTCTTCCTCAGAGCTATCTTCTTCTTTTTTAGCGCCTTCATCGTTATCGTCAGAATCGTTCAACACGTTTGGATCCAGATCAGTAAAATCCTGTAAATATATGTGTTTATTTATATATTATATCATATTTATATTATTTATATTATATCATGTTATTACATATTTATAGGATATCCTATGATTTTGAGGAATATCATTTTTATCTACGAGGTGATATTGATATCTGCACGAGAGAGCAAAGCGAACAAGTGCATATATCAATATCACCGAGTAGATTAAAATGATATTCTGAAAAAAAATCATAGGATGTTCTTATTATCCTACACTTACAAGTGTACTAAATGTATAATATCATTGCAAAATGAATTTCATGCCAAATAGAGTCAATTTGGCGGGAAATCAACAAGCGGAGTATATCGTCACAATATCCTCCGCATATTAGGTTTTCCGGAGTATATCGTCACGATATCCTCCGCCCGGAGTATATCGTTACGATATCCTCCGGTTATTCATTTTGCCAATAAATATCAAATTTATTTTTTAATGTTATTATACTTTTAGTACACTAAGTGTAGGATAATATACTATATTTCATGTTATAACTTGTTTCATCGATATTTTTCAAAATGTATCTCCATCGATTTTGTAACCATTCACATGATTTTCCATGTTTTTTGTTTATTTAGTTAGTTAATACATAATTCATTGGCAAACTATGATACAAACATTTTTACATCAACTGACACTTAAACAAGTGTATAAATTTGTTTTAGTAAAAAAATTAAAATTCGAATAATAACTATACATATTGATAGCATACGTATTCATCTAACTTATAGCTGGTGTTGGTGTGTTGTGGCTGCAAATCTTTTCTAACTTACAACCCAGTCACATTTGTCGTACGGAGGGCGTGCGTCGACCGCAGATCAATTAAATCAATGTATTTCTGCGGCGAGCGTAGGAAAACTACGCTCGCCTTGCGGCCTCCGTACGGCGTATCCAGTTTTTTACAGGCCGCAGGGTCGCCGTATAAGTTCATTTCTGAGGTCCCCGTAGAAATCAACTGGCTCAACAAGATTGAATCATTATTTGTCAATGTTTCACGATCACTTTTCATTTGATATTACATCCTAGCACTATGAATAACATTTATAAATTGTCCTGATGTAAATAAAATGAAAAAAGTATTGTTTATCAACAGAAATTTAAAATTCACCGTGCGGCTGCCGTGGGAAATGTGACTCCAAAAGTATGAGAGCACAGAAATTCTACGGCGAGCGTAGAAAAGCTACTGGCCGCAGAAATGATAGACCGCACGGCGGCAGTGGGAAATGTGACTGGGGTGTTATGAATGATTATGGTTGAGTAAAAGCAAGACATGTTTTTCGTTTGAGGAATGATAAAATGATATAAACCTCTAACCTTTTTGGACTACCTTGTATGTTTGATTTCATAGATAAAAATATAATTTCGAATTACAGGGTCATATATACAATAGTAAGCAACATGTTTCCAATTATTCATAATGTATAATAGTTGACGAAATTTCACATCAATCATATGGGCGCTGTAGAAAACATTTATAAATCCATGCTTTACAATACAATGGATTCCTAATCCTTATTTCAGTCATTATAGTGAAAATATCAACACACGAAGGTCCTTGTCTGCTGATGAAATTCTAAGTTCTTTCAAATAAAGTACTTATAACGTGTGGTCACATGTGGTCTCGAAGCATTGAAAGCGGAACGATCACGGTCATTTATTATGGAATTTTATGTATGTTTAAGTAAATTATGATGCACATATACCCACGGCGTCTATACACGTGGTCTTGAAGCATTGACTATTTACGTATGTTTAAGTAATGTATGTACTCAAGGGGTCTATCAATTGGTCTTAAAACATTGAACACGTGACTATTCATTTTTGTATATGAAATTTTATTTATGTTTAAGTAAATTATGTTGAACTCACGGCGTCTATGGTGGTTGAAACATTGAACACGTGACTATCTCTATTTGTATATTGAATTCTATGTGTGTTTTGTAAAGTATGTACTCAAGGGGTCTATCAAGTGGTCTTAAAACATTGAACACGTGACTATTCATTTTTGTATATGAAATTTTATTTATGTTTAAGTAAATTATGTTGAACTCACGGCGTCTATGGTGGTATCGAAACATTGAACACATGACTATCTCTATTTGTATATTGAATTTTATGTATGTTTAGTAAAGTATGTACTCAAGGGGTCTATCAAGTGGTCTTAAAACATTGAACACGTGACTATCTATGTATGTTTAAGTAATGTATGTACTCAAGGGGTCTATCAAGTGGTCTTAAAACATTGAACACGTGACTATTTATTTTGTATATGAAAGTTTATTTATGTTTAAGTAAATTATGTTGAACTCACGGCGTCTATGGTGGTATGGAAACATTGAACACGTGACTATCTCTATTTGTATATTGGATTCCATGTATGTTTGAGTAAAGTATGTACTCAAGGGGTCTATCAAGTGGTCTTAAAACATTGAACACGTGACTATCTATGTATGTTTAAGTAATGTATGTACTCAAGGGGTCTATCAAGTGGTCTTAAAACATTGAACACGTGACTATTTATTTTGTATATGAAAGTTTATTTATGTTTAAGTAAATTATGTTGAACTCACGTCGTCTATGGTGGTATGGAAACATTGAACACGTGACTATCTCTATTTGTATATTGGATTCTATGTATGTTTGAGTAAAGTATGTACTCAAGGGGTCTATACAGGTAGTCTTGAAACATTGAACACTATTTGTATATGGCATTCTATGAATAGGTTACGTAAATTATGTACTCACGGGGTCTATACAGGTCGTCTTGAAACATTGAACACGGGAAGCCTTCTCCGTCGAACGTAGCTGCATATGTTAAAGCAAAATATTGTTTTACTATACTAAATAATGAACTTAACATAAATTACAATAAAGTTAGTGAATAAATGTAATTCTAGTATTATTGTGATGTCATGTAGTATGATGATGAAACAGCTGAGGAACAACTTGACAATGTTATCCCAACCAGTATTGTTCTTATATGATTGTGTAAACATGACATGACATTACTACAAAATGACGATAGATACCTTATACGGAATATGATTATACAAACCTTTGAGTTATCAATTATATTTGTACGTGTAGGCGATGTTATAATTACACACACATGAGATGACTGTAGTGACTTTGGCCTTCTAATGACCTTGACCCATGCCCTCCCAATTACGTACATTGATAATCAAACATATACCTACCAGTTCTTTCGGCGGCGTGTCCCCTCGTCGTGGTTGAATCTGATACGATACAGCTTGACAGAACAATGCAGCGAGTAGTATAATAACCAGCATAACTAATGTGTTAGTAATAATACACTTACGCCAGGCAATCACCAAGAATACAGCTATAATGTCACACCGTCTTCTCTTCTCCCCGTTTCTCTCCTTGCTAAGGGACACTTGTCAGGAATATTAATATTAACTTTATTCTCAAGTAAATAGATACACAATGGTACGAAGATTTATTGTTTTATTGGTTTTGGCTATTAAGTAAAGGACAACACTAGTATTTAACATGTCCAACGAGTATTACCAGTTGCGCATGTTCACGGCTGATTGCTCATAAATAACCGACAGATAGCCTCTATCTGTAGAGCTGAACAATTGAAGATACGGTGAAAAAGCTTAAGTACGGATAAGCTGAATTATTTCAACCTTGGTATTAACTGAAATAGCTAGTATTAGAGAAGAGTGATGACGATTAGAAAAAATAGTGTTAGATAACCGTGTAGAATCTGTCCAGGTTTTACGACTTTGTTAATGCCACTTTATATTGTTTTTGACATCGGTTACTGACATAAGATGGTATGATATACGAGCCAAAACATTAGATCGTAATACCCTGCAATAATACTTAATAATACTATAATACTATGTCTGATAATCATATAGTATGAAATATTACACTATTCTAAGTATAAGTCAAAACATATACATCAATAGATAGACTTTCTACGACTTAAATGTCAGACTTAGATTAAATAAAACTTAAAAGCTCATTTCTATCTTTTGTAAATAGTTTTGTTGAATTGATATAAACGGCTTCGGAATAAAAACTTAAATATCGGAATTAAATGCTGTTCTGTGCTTAGTTTGGTTCATAACAGTGCAAATTGTAATCTAAGATCCGGGTTAAAACAGTTTTACATATTACCAACGGGAACGTGACAAAAATGGTTACATAACACTACGGGAGGAAGATCTAAGAGAGCACCAGTCATAAAGAAAACAAACCCCCATTATTCCAAACCATAATGTAAAGAGAAACAGTGTCCAATACCCCACCCTAGCTATGTATACTCAAGTTATTAAATACATGTTGGAAAATGAATAAAAATTGATAGCCAATACTCCTAACATCAATCATAGTTTTAGAGACGACCACTGTTGTGTTCACACAAAACCAAGCAGTCTCAAATGATGTGGGACAGACATTCAATCACGAAATTCACAAGCGTATCGGATGGTCTGCTAAGCCGATGCTATAGTCCACGGCCACAAAACAATATTTCACAATGGTCATAAGGAGGAAATTACGGCTGGTTTCAATCTCTTCATCTCAACCATTAACGCCATAGCAGTGATCCACATTAAAAAATGCCGTGTGAAAGCAAAGCAGCATATTACAGTAAGATCTTTATAATGGCTTAAAGTGAAATGCCATAAAATTATAATTTGTTCTTGAAATTAAGAATATTCCCTTTGTAAAACAAGGGACTTCCTATTGGAAAAGTATATAAACTGCCTGTAAAAATATGATTGTTAGAGTGGTATACAAAAGCTCAACAGGGGCAAAATATCATACCAATTTACCAAAGCAAAGAGTACAAAAGGGTACATCCAAAGACCCGGTGACTAACACCATAATCATCAAAACAAATAAAAATCAAAAGCCTCTCATATTTCTCAGTTGCTCCCTGTAATAAACAATTTCATCAATCATTTATATATAATAATCAAATCTGATTCAGGTACAGTGTGTTTTAGAGGTGTCAAGTATTAACCGGTTAACCGGTTAACCACCGATAATGCCTTGACCGGTCTGTGTTTTTATGGGCGGTTAGTTGACCGTGTATAATTCTGTGATTTCCCGCGCTTATTTTGCATGCTAATCCGTTTGGCTTTATGGTGTCAGTTTCACGTAAGCTACTCATACATGTCATAAGTCCTATAACTCCTTACAAACATCCAATCAGCAACTTTAATCCCTGCCATATTGCTTTCCCGCGCTTACTTTGCATTTTAATCTGTTTGTTTTTCAAGCGTCAGTTTCATTTGAGCTACTCATACATGTGATAGGTCCGATAATTCCTTAGAAACATCCAATCAGCAACTTTAATCCCTGCCACATTGCTTTCCCGCGCTTACTCACATAGAATAGAGTAAAGCTTGACGAACGTAAAAAATAAACGCCGATATATCATTTTTCCAATTTGTTTCAACTTTCAAGATCGAAGATGAAGATTTCTTTTGAAATTATCAGTTCAAATTTCCCGCCGGTTAACCGACTTTAACCGGTAAAAACCATGGTTAACCGGTTAATGCTCAAGCGGTTAATTGACACCACTAGTGTGTTTCATATGTATGCACCCCCTCTAAAATAATATATCTGGCATTGCCACCCTATCATGTTATATATCATTTGGTTCCTCGTAGAACGTTACATAAAATTACAGAGCTTCATAATCCAGAGCTGCATCTCAAAATTTGTGCGTATGGGGTCATTTAGGGGCAACTTCCGGTCATTATGAGGGCAATTTAGGAAAAAATTTGTTTCTGTATTGTACATTTCTAGCAGTTGTCATCTTGACAGACTTCTGTCGACATTTCTGTGACAGTTATTCTCAAATATATATAGACAGGGCTCATGCAGTGGCTTATAGGGAGGTCAGGTATCATGGTACCACCTTTATCACTAAAAATGGGCAACGGAAAAAGTGAACAGGTACTGGATCCAAAAATGTTACAAATTACCATTTACCCGCATACTTTGATACATTGTATCTTTTTTTCTGGGACACCCCTTGATACTGAAACTTTGCAATCTTATGTAACTTTATATAAGTAACAAAATGATATATTACATAGGGTGACAATGGTACATGTATGAGTTTAAAAAGGGGTGCATACATATCACACCCTGTATAGGAATTTAAATGACTTTTACCAAAATATGTCGATTTTATGTTTTATTAACAAATACCAGGTATATGTTCTCTGCAACATAGAGCCATCTTGTAAATAAAGCTGTCTTTCAACACTGTTATAAGCTTGCAGTAATATAGTACAGATAGAACGACTTGTAATAGAGATAATATTGTACAAACAATTAGATGGCACAATCGTTCATCTCTCTGCTAATAACAAATTATGTACAGTACTTCTATGTTTTACGCTAGTTCTATGTTAACCATATATGAAATCACAGTAGGCACCTATAACTTATTGAACGCTTTAGCTTGTATTCGTGAATGCAAATAACGGCTATCGGCTAGCGGATTAACCTACTATTTTATGACCAACTCATTTAAATATGAATGGAATAGTGGCAGCTGGGTACTATTCATTTGTAAATGAATTGCCAAGAAAATAGTAGGTAAATCTGATAGCCGATAGCCGTTATTTGCATTCGCGAATACTTCACACAATTGTTGCATACATATTTGTCAGTTGGAATAATCACTGTTTACAGTTGTCACTGCCTCGTGTACATTCTTCTTCGTCGTGTTATATTTTGTATTTATTTATTTTATTAACGTGTCACCTATTGTACGGAATAGCTAGCCCAAACTGGTCTTATAAGACACATTAAACATTTAATTATTAAACTTATATATGTGATACCTTCTTAGGTTCTACTTTTAAAGATGTTTTAGACCCCTTGTTGAATAATGTTTTCATACAATCAAAATCAGAAAAAGAAGATCCTCTTTCGAGCAAATAAGTTTTGAAAAAATATTGATTTGTGGTCCCTATTTATAATGTTTCGATTGTTCGATTAATATTTGTATCATCATGGGGACTTCACTTGAAAGAAAGTACCCAGAAAGTACTCATAGTGAAAGATATGACAGTCTAAAATCACTTGCCATACTGCACATGGACCTTTTTAACAATACTCTTGGTTTTAAATATATTTAAATAAATGATTCAATATTTGATGTTAAAAATGAAAGTCTTTCTGTTCTATAGGCATTACGCGCAGTTTACCTTGTTAGTAATATCTCTTTCCGTTTATTTGTAAATACACACAGGAGCATTATCTATTACCCTATTTCCGTCCAATAACTGTTTAGGAAAGAGGATATTATATTGTCTTAAGGAAATGTTTTGAAATAACAGGGAAGGTATGCTCGATTTGAATTTTGATAACTGTTAACAGAGGATGTCCTCATTGCACTTAAAATTAAGGAAACCTCTTTGATTTGTATTTTCCCGTCTATGTTCCTGGTCTATATCAAATTGATTATTGTGTTAACAAGGGTGAAGCTTTGACAGGAGAAGTGCATGACCGCTCCTCTAAATTCAATTTCCGTTTAATGCTAGGATAACTATTGAATGTTCCTCTTACTAATGCCATTAAAAAATCTGATGATATCAGTATTCATCAGCATTCATAGCTATCTGTTTGCTACATTTTAAAGAAAACTATTAATTAAAAATGAAATGTAAGGATTGCAAAATAAGGTGAACGTGCATTTGACCTAGATTTTGACATTGGCAATTGAGCGTTCATTATCATATCGATTTTCAAGATTTCAAAACGTCATAGAAGCTTTAATAACGGAAGTCGGATTTCAATTGTGATTTAAGATTCAATTCAATTGTGATTTTAGATTCAGAGTCCTGAGAAAAGGTTCCACCATCTTTATACCTCAAACGTGTTTATTTACCTATTTTTGGAAACTAATATCTCGAAATCAGTTCAAGATATCAAATAAATATTTCACAAGTACGTGTTTTCACTTTTTATAGGAAAACAATGAAGAAAGATGGAATGCAAAATGTTGATGGATGACAAATAAAATAGAAAAAAGTCAGAAAATACAACATGAAATGAATATATAAAGCCTCTGAAGAAGAGCATTTTCCTTGGACGTAATTTCTTATCAATATGATTTACAATAAGATGTAGTTGAAGTGAATGGTTTGCATTTTGATCTATGTGGCAGTAACCCGAGATGGAGGAAATCTCTCTAACATTTCATTTCCACCCAAATATCCTTATCAAAATGGAACAAAATATCGTGTGATTCATGAATGAATTATTACTTTATGGTAACTGCACATATTCCTCTTATAAATGGTAAAAATAAGTCCTTGTCATTGACAAATGAATCATATAGTTTGGTAATATGTAAGAACACGAGTACTGAAATCAAACAGCATGATCGTATCTTGTTCTTTTACACTGCTTCACTTTAACATTCCATTGTG